ATATCTTCTGGCATTATGTAATATGTAACGTGTCTGTTTTGTCGTCTCTTGTTCTCCATTAAAGAGTGCAGTCTGTGGTGCATCTTTCTCAGTTCTGTGGAAAGATGGTACCACATAAATTAACATGTAAAGTAAGTCCTCACAATCTTTGCAAACATGGCAAAGAAGGATTTTGGTGGAATTCAAACCCGTGAGCTTTGGCAAACTATTCGGATAGCTTTGCAAGCTGATTTGTGACAGTTGAGAAGTATGTTTGGTTGGTAGACGTGACTTCTCCCTCCCCCCTGTTTGTGGTGCTAATATAACTTGACTCCTGTAGGTAATGCCCCTTGGGCAAGACCACAGCTTCCTCGACGCGGTGGCTGTTCAGCGGGTTTCTCTTCCCTTGCTGGTGATGGACAGAGTAGTGGGTCATCGTTCCCTGACTCCATGGATCCCTCCCTTGTTATATTTGACAAAGATGGAACTCTGATTGATGTAAATACTGTCTGGATTCCATGGATGGAAAGCCATGTACGTGAGCTTGAAGAAGCCACTGGCCTTGCTCTTGCTGACAAAATGTATGAAGAAGTGGGCTTCTGTCCCAAGAAACGTGTATATTCTGATGGAGGACTGCTAGCTCATGCGACTGTTGCTGAAATCAGACAGGCATTTGTCTCTGTTCTAGTTAAAAGTGGAGTGGACGAAATAAAGGCACAGAAGCTGGTAGACAACTGCTGTAAAGACTTCGACAGTGGTGGGCATGACACTCTGGAGCCTCTGGGTGACCTTCCAGCAATATTTGAAAGTTTAAGGGCAAAGGGTGTTAAGACAGCTATCTGCACTACAGACAGCCGTGAAGGTACACTGTCAGCTCTTGACAGGTTAGGCCTTATGAGCATGGTTGATAAAATTGTTTGTGGGGATGACCAAGATACTAAGCCAAAACCAGACCCTGAAACTGCACTTGGCATTTGCAAAGACTTAGATGTTTGCCCAAGTCAAACTGTTATAATTGGCGACACTGTCGCAGACACCACAATGGGTCGCTCTGCGGGGCTGGGTCTCACCATCGGAGTTCTCAGTGGGGCGGGCAACCAAAAATTTCTGGAAAAGGAGGCTGATGTTGTTTTAAACAATGTCGATGAGCTTCTCAACACATTGTTTCCAACAGATTCTTCGTCTTCATCATCGTGAGGGAAATGTGATGTCTTATCAGAAATGCTTTTGTTTCATGGGCTATATAAAGAAAAACATAATGGTATTGATTACTTATAGACTGGCTTCAGTACTTAAGTGACATGTCATTGAAACCTGGGTTGATTTGGATTATATAAATTAGTCTCTACTATTACATTAACATTTGTTCCCCTGGGGGGATACCATTACAGGGGTTTCACTAAGTTTTCATGTAGGAGGGCCCAATAGGAGAGTGAATAGGAGGAAAAGAATATTTTTTGAAGTGAATGTATGTATTCATAATAGGGAAGTAATTAGGTATTGACTTGTTCATCCTAGTTAAGGTACCCAGCTTCCACCTTCTAGTGAGAACCCTGCAATACTCAAGTAAGATTGATTTTAGTACATGAAAATAATTTACATGATTATATGTTATTATCATAAGAGTAACTTAATTAAAAGTCTAAACATATTTTCAGGAAGTAAAATTTGGAGTAGAGGAGACTGTTTTCAAAACAGTTGTATATGTAGGTTTTAATAACATAAAGCAGTTATGCTATGATGGTTAGAAACTTGGTATGTTGTGGATTTCCCTTCATTGTTCATCAGAAAGTCACATTTAGAGTATTCATTCTTATTTATTTCCGTAAGGTAACTTTGTCATGATCCCATAATAAACCTGCACTGTTCTCTGGAAAAGTAAGAGAGCTGTGTTTGTAAATAGCTACAATTGTAGGTTAATTTAGTCTTCATGACAGCCTTGTATATTAAGGTAGTAAGTGGAACCTTCAAGCTTTGGTGGCTTGGGATTACATCAATAATGATATGAGTGCGAATGTGTTTCTATTTTTTCTATCAGTTTTGTATATCAAAGCCACAGTAAATAGTTGAGATGTTTTGGTCGTCGTTTTATCAATATAATTTTGGTGATTGCACTGCAACTCGCTTTTAAACTTCTTGTCGTTTTATCAGAGTTTGATCATGCGTGACTTAATCTAGTTGTGCAGTAGCTGTTAGTTTAAGTGCCTAATTACAATACTGGATATAGAATAAAATTGACAATTCAACTGGAAGTTTAACTTATGCCAACATATGTTAGTTCACACATGCATCAAAGCCTCCAAAGCTCTTGTCAGTAGCCCCTTGAGCCAAACATGAAGACTAGCAAAAGTAGTGTAGAAACCAAAGTGGTGTGTTACACTGTCATAAAACTCTTAAAGATACTTGAGAACAGGAGTGAAATCTGTAAGTGATAGTGAACAGTGGATGATTGTTTTCTACATTTCTCAAGTTTTCAAATAACCCAGGTGTTTTATCACAGTGTCGTACATTGTTTTGGCTTCTTTCTATGCCTTCACATGTGCAAAATAAGTAGTCTAAGTTTTCTGTTTTTGACTTTGATAACATGACTTTTTATCCAGTCAGACCACAAAGAATCCAAACTACTGCATTGTATTTTGGTACTGTGTGGCTTGTGTTTGGAGCTTATATAACACATACTCTGTTTGGCTAATTCTTGAGCATTACTCTCTCTTAATGCCCAGGGGCCGATTGTCGGTCTGCAAAAACAAAGCAAAAAGCCATATACCAAACAACTTATAAACATGGAGTGGTTAGCCTTAACAGGAAAATCTCAAACCTTGGCCTTGCCAAGTGCTAGGTTGATACTGCAAAGTCTCGCTTAGAGATTTTGCCATAAAGACCTCACTTGGTTAACTAGTAGCCAAAAAAACAACAAAAACAACAAACAGAACTAGCTGTATGATTGATGCTGATAATGTTTCTGCAAGAAGTTATGTGTTGTATCAGACTTCAGCCTGCAGTCTGGCTCTAAGTTTACTTA